AAGTCTGTGTCGTTGTCTACCTTGATGACATCCTTGTCTTCAGCCCCACCTTCGAGTCCCACCTTCAGCACCTCCGCCAAGTCCTCGCGATCCTCCGAGAGCAAAAATTCTACGCCAAGCTCAGCAAATGTACGTTTGCCGCTTCGAGCGTCGAATACCTCGGCCATATTGTCTCCGCTAAAGGCATCCGTATGGACCCCTCRAAGGTCACATCCCTCGTCGAGTACCCCCCACCCAAGACCCTCCTCCAACTCCGTTCCTTCCTTGGCCTTGCCAACTATTACCGCCCATTCATTCGCAACTGTTCCGAGATCTCTTACCCTCTCCACGAACTCACCCGCAAGGACGAGCCTTTCCATTGGAACGATCGCCGCCAACAAGCTTTCGACTTACTCAAGCAAACCATCACCACGGCCCTTGTCCTCAAGATCGCCGACCCCACTCGCCATTTCTATGTCACCACTGACGCCTCCGACTTCGCCATCAGAGCCATACTGTCCCAACATTTCCCCCGCGACACCGCCGAGACCCCCTCCATCAAGGACTCGCCCACTCACCCCAAGGCTCCACCTGGCGAATACCCTATCGCCTTCGCAAGCAAGAAGCTCCTTCCCGCGGAGATGAATTACCCCTCCAACGAGAAGGAACTCCTCGCCGTGATTCACGCCCTCACAGTCTGGCACCCGTACCTCGACGGGCAATACTTCACCATCCGCACTGACAACACCATCGTCTCCTCCATCCTCTCCAAGAAAGATATCACTCCACGCCAAGCCCGCTGGCTAGACTTCCTTGCCCAGTTCACATTCACCATTTGCCATACCCCCGGCAAAAGCAACCGCGTTGCCGATCCCCTCTCGCGACGACCCGACCACAAGCCCCCCGAGAAAGTCTACGCCACCATGACTCGTATTCAACTCCTTCCATCACTTCATCACCGATACACCCAAGGCTATCTCTCCTGCTCAGACTTCGCCACCATTTACAACAAGCTCCGCGATCTTGACTCAGTTCCCRACTACTCCCTTCACAACAATCTCCTCTACATCATTACCAAAGGCACTCGCCGACTTTGCATCCCCGACGCACGAGGCCTCCGTACTCAACTCTTGGCCGAGCACCACGATGCCAAGATCGCAGGACATCTCGGTTTCCAAAAGACCTTTGACACCATCTCCCGCTACTTCTACTGACCTTCCCTACTCGTCGACGTTAAGGCATACATTCGCTCGTGCCCCACGTGTCAAGCTGTCAACACCTCGAACCGGGCCAAACCCGGCAAGCTCCAATCATTGCCCATCCCAACTCACCGGTGGCAGTCCATCTCCATGGACTTCGTGTGCGGCCTCCCCAAGACCGACCGCGGGCATGATTGCATCTACGTCATTGTCTGCCGCTTGACCAAACGTGCCCACTTCATCCCTTGCACGACCTCGCACAATGCCAAAGACGTCGCCACACTCTTCTTCGACCATGTTGCTCGCCATCACGGCCTCCCCGAGAACATCATCAGTAACCGTGATCCTAGCTTCCTCTCACAATTATGGAAACACATCTTCACGACCTACGGAACCACGCTCAAGTATAGCACTGCATTCCACCCACAGACCGATGGACAAACAGAGAAGATGAACGATACACTCCAAAGAATCCTGCGGAAGTATTGTCATCCACACCAACACGATTGGGATCAGTTGCTCACAGCCGCCGAAATTGCCTACAACAATGCTGTCTGCCCCTCCACTGGCATGTCCCCTTTCTACCTCGACCTTGGCTACCATCCCCGCTTGCCCTCTGATTTCTTGCTTCCCTCRCAGCTCAGCCCCTCCACCCCCTTCCCCTCTCTCAATGAATGGATAGCAACAATGAACAGACTCCTCAAAGAAGCAACCGAAGCCCTTGAACGAACACAAGAACAACAAGCCAACAAGACTAACAAACACAGACGGGACGTGTCATTCAAAGTAGGGGACAAAGTCTGGCTTTCTGCCAAACGCTTTGAATCCGAACAAGGCTTGTCCAAGAAACTCTCGAACAAGTGGCTCGGTCCCTTCCCCATCATTGAACAAACCTCCCCCGTCAACTACAAACTCCAACTTCCCCCTGACATGAGTCGTGTCCACCCAGTCTTCCATGTCGAGTACCTAAAAGAATACCATGAATCCCCGCCCCAGTTCGCCGACCACCCATATCCTAGACCTCCACCAATCATGCTACCCACAGGCCCTGAATTCGTTGTCGAAACCATCATCGGCCGACGAACCACTCAGGTTTCTGATCATCCGGAACCAATCACTGAATACAAAGTCAAATAGACCGGATACCCCGACGAAGAATCTACATGGGAACCTCTCTCTAATCTTAAGAACGCCATGAAACTTGTCCGCGCCTATGATCGTGCTAATCCTA